AGAAAAAAAGGGAGAGGTATTCATTGCCTATTAGAAAAATTTGGAGGGGGGGGGGCAAAGAGGAAGAATTTGTCACCAGATGTTGACAGACCTGAGAATTTAGTCCTCTTGGAATAGAGACTCTGTTGATACAATCAATCCAACTAACTTACCCTGCTTTGAGGACTCTCACCAACCAACACTTGTTGTTATAAGGGAGAAAGAATGTAGAGAGTCCTTTGACACACCTGACACTCAGGCATATGGGCATAAGGAGTCAATCTGGTTTACATGACTATCTATGGCTATAACTTTTAAGTCTGTAAGTAAGAATCATTGCTTCTTGGCCTCCTTAACTCTGGAAACATTTTCAATTAGCAATAATCGAGACTCAGACAAACCTCATTGGTTGCGATACTGCCACTGCATAAAGCTTAGAAACATTTTCAAAATGGAGTTTCCAGACCTGCCCAACTGAAGACCTGATGAAAGTAAGAACATTCTGCCAGAAAGACTCCTTGGAGACAATTCAATCTAACCACTGATCGCCTGCATTCTTTGTTTTTGTTCTACGTCTAGTAAGTGCTTTTAACTCTGGTGCACATATCTAATTTAATGACTCTGCTCATTTCATCTGGACTTTAAAAAACTATTCAAAAGAGTTTTTCAGAACTAGAGATTATATGCCTGTTTTATTTATTACTAATTTCTACTAATTCTAAGATAGGCCTTTGGTTGACTTTCTAGCACCTCTGACCAACATACAAACAGCAAGAAGCTTGTTTAACTTTGCATCTTCCATAGCATCTAGCAGTACATATTGTTCAAAGTGAGTACTCAAGATATGTTTGCAGTACTAAATTAGCTGAACATGGAGAGAAATAGCATGATTCTTTAATCTTAATTTATATCTGCAGTTCCAAGAGAAAAAAATGTCCTGTTAATACCAGCTCTCCCCCCTCCTCTGAAGCCAGAACTCACTATATCCCTCTCATTTGAAAGAAGTGGTTCCTTAAGCAACTGTCTCCAACAGAGGATTGGCTAGATCTTTTATTAGAAATCTGAAATTCACATAAGGATTTAATCAATCATGGAATCAAAGTGAGAGGGAAGGAGATCTTACATTTATATAGTCACTGAAAATCTCTTTCCAAAATAATTCCCCTATTTCTTTTCAT